AGCCTTCCCAGTAGAGTCCCACTGCATGCAGGGGGTAAGGACTGGCTTTTCTGTTTCTTGAATAAAACATTTTATGCTGCTCCCTGCAATCTTTAAAGAGCTAAGCCACTCTCAGGGTGTGGATACTAGGAAAGATCCTGAGCATTCTGAAACATCAGACCTTTAGGATGTGGCAGCTCATTGAAGGCTAAGTAATAAAGAATAAAAAGAAATCTCAGATAATAACTGCCTAGAAGTTACCGAGTGCTAAGCATTTTGCATACATCATTTTTTAGTCTTCATAACAATCTGTAGGGTAGGTGAAATTGTCCCCATTTTACAGATGGAAATTGAGGCTTCAAGAGGGAAGTAGCTGGCGCAAGGTCACACTGCTTGTTAGGTGATGGTGCCAGCATTTGAACTCGGGAATCACTCTGCTATCCTCTCTCTGAGGTCTTAATCCTAGGTATGAAACGAAGATAGTGGTGCCATTTAGAGAATCAGGTCTGGCAAGACAAGGAGCTCCTTTCAGGGGAGCTTGGTTGGCAAAGGCTGAATTTATGTGGTGAGCTGGGTCTCGGGTGGTTATGTCTTAGCAGGGAATTAGAAACATGTACTGGGGATGGAGATTTGGATTTTTTATTTTTTAAAATAAATTTATTTATTTATGGCTGCATTGGGTCTTTCTTGCAGTGCATGGGCTTCTCATCGTGGTGGCTTCTCTTGTTGCAGAACGTGGGCCCTAGGTGCGCGGGCTTCAGTAGTTGTGGCACACAGGATTAGTTGCTCCGCAGCATGTGGGATCTTCCCAGACCAGGGCTCGAACCCGTGTCCCCTGCATTGGCAGGCGGATTCTTAACCACTGCGCCACCAGGGAAGTCCCGAGATTTAAATTTGAAAGCCATGTATAATATATGAGAGAAAAAGAAAAGGATTTGAGGGCAAATCCTGGAGGAAATGCCTGCATTAGGAGATGTAAGGATGAAAAGGACAGAGTTAGTGAAAGAGACAGAAAAAAAGGCAGTCAGAGGTCGGAGATAATTCCAGGTAGAACTCTGTTTTAGAAGCCAGGGCAGAGGTTTCACGAGGTCAGGATGAACATGTGGCAAATTTAGAGGTGGAAGGAGGTGGGGGACAGAGCAGTGCAAACTGGTTTCCGGAAGTCACAGGTGGTCTTTAAAAGCAGTATCAGCAGGGTTGTGTTGGTAGAAAATGAGAGAAGGGGTGAAAGTAGAGACGATGGGGATAGACTATTTTCAAAAAAAAAAAGGAGAGGGCAGCAAAGGGAAGAAGCACATGGATGGATGCTTGGCAGAGGGTCAGGACTGAGGGATGGGGAGACTTTGAAAGCAAAAAGAAAGTGTATCTCGAGAGAGCAGGGGACGCATGTGAGAAGGTGGATGAAGGAATGTCACGGGTGTGGCGGGAGCTGGGGGGGCCCGGGTGCAGTCATGGGCTATTGGACTGCACTCATATATTTCTTCTTCAGAGAAAGGAGCAATGGGAGAAAAGAAGACTGGAGGAATGCAGAGAGATTTTAGGTGTGGGGAGAAAGGGAATGTAGGAAGTTCTCACATCAGATGGCTTTGACCTTGGTAAAGTAGGAAGGAAGTGATGTGTTCTGATGAACGTGAGTACCATAGGTGTTCATGATTTTCTTTTCTGCTGAGTGTAGAGAAGGAAGTGATAACTGTGGGAAGGACAAAGGATAAAGCCTCAGCTTCTTGTAGTCAGTTGGTTCAGCCTGGGTAGGCATATGATTTGGGGCTGGGACAGAAAGTTGCCAGGTACTAAGCACTGTGTCACCCATGGGTGCCCTGATATTATACAACCCCAAGGACCCATCAGAAAGAGCTTCTGAATATAGGCTGAGACTAGGGGACAGACAAGTGATGATAGAACAATTAAAGATAAGCTATTCATTTTTTTAACTGAGAACCCACTGTAGACTGGACCCTCTCTGAAGTAATGGGTTAGAATTTACCTTATAATAGTATATGATTCAGCCTTGTCAATAATTCAAACAAAATGCCACAGTTCATTTAAAGTCATACTTGTACCTATAAATACAGTCCGCAGTTTGCAAAGGGAAACTTAATTTAAAGGAACTTCGTTGTAATGTGAATATGTAATGAGTGGTGAACACTTTTGTACTGTGAATAATTCCTTTTTTACATTTTCATTTACCTGGATTTATGTATAAGCACCTAAATGATGATTTAGAAATGGCAGTGGTGACTGCGGTTAACAGAACACAATAAAGAATTCCTTTAAAGGACAGTCTTCTTTCAGCTCAGGATCTGTCGCACAGAGAAAAATGCAGTTAACATTTTGCTGTGAATTTCTTGTGTACTCTAGCAGTGTGTGGGGAAGAGATTGGACAAATATAGAACATTGAGAGCGGGGAAAAAAAGGATTTGAGAACAGATCTTTGAGGGGATGCCTCTAATAAAATAATAATGACAATAATAAAACAGCAGATGCCACACTGTGAAGTCCATGGGCAGTGCTTGTGAAGGGAATAAATGCTATAACTCAAATTCTTCTCGAGTCAGAGGGTCAGAACCCCTTTGCAGACCCACCTAAAAAGGCTCTGCGTTTGAGATCCTGTAGACTCAGGTGTATGTCCAGGTGTACATCAAAATGCATGAGCTTGCCAGTCAGAGGGTAGAAGTCCAAAGGACAGCATGACTAGGGGGCTGACTTGTACATGCCCACAGAAGTAGAAGAATGTATGTTAGGAATGATGGTGAGTGAAGTAATTTATTGGAATGATTTTAGGCAAATTTAAACTCTTCTGGGAAGAAAACGTATAATATATTACCAAGATGTTAATTAAACTATCCATGCTCTTAATTGACATGCCCTAAGGAAAAGAACTTTGATTGTACCTGATTTCTTCCTGTTAGGGATAGATGATATGTTCCAAGATCAGGGGGCGTCTCTGGAGCCTCTCCCGGAGCTCTTTGATGTTTGGCTTGGGTTGGGCTCGTGATCCATCTCCTGGAGAGCACATTTTCCCGGAGGATGAAGAATCCCAGGGCCTTTCAGACACTTTCTTGCTTCTTCAGCCCTAGCGTGCTAGAGTGAGAAGGTAATTGCTCCTCAGCCTTGGGACTTTCTGCCTCTCTGTCTGTGGAGGTTCACCTAATGCTTTGGCCTGTATTAGTCCAGGGCTATTGGAGTGTGCTCATATATACCTGTACGTATATAAGAAATACGTATACGTATTTCTTATATATACCTGTACGTATATAAGAAATCCCGAACTTAGCGGCTTAATGTAACAGACATGTATTGGTTCCCAGTGTCTGTGGGTCAGGAATCTAGACACAGTTTAGCTGGGTCAGGGACTCTTATGAATCTGCAGTTATAAGAGTGTGGACCAGAACTTCAGGCATCTTGAGGCTTGACTAAGGATGGACCCCAGTCCAAATTCTCTTACATGGCTGTTGGCAAGATTCAGTTCCTTCTGGGTTTTTTTTTTTTTTTTAAACACACGCTAGAAACTGCCCTTTTTCTTTTTTCTTTTTTTTTTAAATGTATTTTATTTATTTATTTATTTTTGGCTGTGTTGGGTCTTCGGTGCTGTGCGTGGGCTTTCTCTAGTTGCGGCGAGCGGGGGCTACTCTTTGTTGTGGTGCGTGGGCTTCTCATTGCAGTGTCTTCTCTCATTGTGGAGCACGGGCTCTAGGTGTGTGGGCTTCAGTAGTTGCGGCACGTGGGCTTCAGTAGTTGCGGCACGCGGGCTCAGTAGTTGTGGCTCACGGGCTCTAGAGCGCAGGCTCAGTAGTTGTGGCACACGAGCTTAGTTGCTCCACGGCATGTGGGATCTTCCTGGACCAGGGATCGAACCCGTGTCCCCTGCATTGGCAGGCGGATTCTCAACCACTGCGCCACCGGGGAAGCCCCCTTCTGGGTTTTTTGACTAAAAGCTTCAATTCCTGGCTGGCTGTTGCCTGGAGACTGCCCTAAGTTCCTTGTCATGGTCCTCATCAAAACAATGAGCCAATAAGTGAGAGGACAAGAGAGAGTGAGAGCAAGTTGAAAGTCAGTCTTGAGTGTGTACACCTAAGAGTCACATGGCTAGGTCATAGGCATGTGTGTTATCAACTCTAATAGATACTGTCGAACTGTTATCCTGAGTGGTTGTATTATTTTACGCTCCCGCCAGCAGTATGATGGTTCCTTTTTTGGTTTCTTTTTTTACATCATTGTCAACACCTTAGTGTACTGTCAGATTTTGAGCCAGGTTAACTTTTTTTTTTAAGTTGTTGGGTTTTTATTTTTAGTTTATTTTTAATTGAAGTATAGTTGATTTACAGCATTGTGTTAATTTCTGCTATACAGCAAAGTGATTCAGTTACACATATATATACATTCTTTTATATGTTCTTTTCCATTATGGTTTATGACAGGATATTGAATATAGTTCCCTGTGCTCTACAGTAGAACCTTGTTGTTTATCCATCCTATATATAATAGTTTGCATCTATTAGTCCCAAACTCCCAATCCATCCCTTCCTCAGTCCCCTCCCCCTTGGCAGCCACAAGTCTGTAATAGTTCTCTGAGTCTGTTTCTGTTTCGTATATAAGTCCATTTGTATCATATTTTATATTCCATATATAAGTGGTATCATATGGTGTTTCTTTCTCTGTCTGACTTACTTCGCTTAGTATGCTAATCTCTGGGTCCATCCATGTTGCTGCAAATGGCATTATTTCATTCTTTTTTATGAGCCAGATTAACTATTTTTGTAAATTTTTAAATTGATGTATAATTGATTTATAATGTTGTGTTTTGTTAATTTCTGCTGTACAGCAAAGTGATTCAGTTATATATATATATATATTAATATATATATACATTCTTTTTTTAATATTCTTTTCCATTATGGTTTATCATAGGTGAGCCAGGTCAACTTTTAAAAGAATTGTCTTGTACTGAATTCATGACTGAAACCCAACCCTACAGAACTGTTGCTTTGCATCCCTTACTCTGCCCATTTCCCCTCCTCCAGGGGTGGCTTGTGAACCTCGTCACGGCAGATCGTGTGTCCCCGCTCCATGAAGCCTGTCTCGGAGGTCATCCCTCCTGTGCAAACATTTTATTAAAGCATGGAGCTCAGGTAAGTGCAGCTCAAATCACACCTTAGGCACCATGACTGAAAAATGACGATTTCTATCCCTTCTGAATACTTCCCAGCGTTTTTGATTAGCCTGATTTGAAATATGAAGGTTTTTCTTTTTCAAAAGTATTATGTCTATCAAGCTTATTTACTTTAGTGGTAGATGAAATACTGCATTTTTAGCTAGAAAGTCATGGTCTGACTATCTATCATTTTCTTTGACTGTCACTATTAATAAATAGCTGTTAGATTTCTGCCTTCATTTCTGTGGCTGGAAGGTAGTGACATATTGTAGAAAACACATAACATTTGTCTCCATGAGACCTGAATAATGGTTCCAGACCATCTCTACCATTTACTGACATTGGAAACTTGGACAGGTTACTTAGCCTGTAAGCTTTAGAGTCTATATATGAGAGAAAAAAACAAACAGGGAAAATACCAAAAAAAATTATGTAGCATATTTTGTGGTATTGTGAGGATTGAGAGGGATAAGGTATGTGATTATTATTTGGAGAATGGGAATCGGGATGACATAATGAGATTCTAGAGAAGGAAGATACGAAATCATTGCATTTGAAAGCAGGGACCAGTACATCTTCCATTAACTTAAGTACCCTCTTGGTCAGGAGTGATGGGAAAATCTGATCAGGAAATTCTGTGTGGGTTTCTCATCTTTTCTCAACCAGTCTGTACTGAGCATTTATTATGTGCCTAACTCTAGATAAAGATTTTCAGGAACTTCTAAGCTAAATGAGGAGACGACCAGATAAACAGGTAAATGGCGGCATGTAACACTAACTGCTTCAAAAGATAAACCCTGAAATCTCAGTAGCCTCATACAATAAAAGTTTATTTCTTGTTCAACTCAGAATCCAGTGTGGGTGTTCCCAGTTGGGTGGCTATTTTCCAAGGGTGATTCAAGGACGCAGGCTCCTTTCATCCTGTTGCTCCCATGTGTGCTCCATTCCAGATGGGTAGAAGGGGAAAAGACACGGAGGATTGTGAATGGAAGCTTTTTAAGGGCCAGTCTTGGCAGTGACGTATGTCACTTTTGCTCATATCCCATTGGCCAGAATTCAGGCCATGTCTAACTGCCAGGGAGGTGGGCGAGTGTAGTGTGCCTCTGCGCCCAAGAGAGAGGAAATGAGTTTGTTTAACGCATCGTATCTCAGCCACAGCAGGCAATTACAATACGCTGTTTTTATCTGTTAGTTTCTTCTGTGTAACAAACCACCCTGACTTAATGACTTAAGACAGTAGCCATTTATCTCACAGTTCCTTGTGTTGTCTGGACAGCTCGTCTGGTCTGGCTGCTTCAGCTAACCTCAGCTGGGCTTACTGAGGCATTTCAGGTTAGCTGATAGATGGGCTGGGGCAGGCTACTTCATGATGACCTTGGCTGGGATGGCTGGGAGGTCTGGGGAGACAGAAGAGCTCTACGTGGTCTCTCATCCTCTAGCAGGCGACCCGGGCCTGTTCACGTGGTAGCAGGGATTCCAAGAGCAGCAAAATGGGGCAAGCTCTCTGCTTGTATCACACTTGTTAACTGTCCCATTGACCAAAGCAATTCATGTGGGCAAGCCCAGATTCAAGGATTGAAAAGATATAGTCTCCGTCTTGGGATGGGAGGAGTTACTAAGCCACTCTGCAAAGGGATATGCATCCTGGGCAGAGAATCTGTGGCCATATTTTGCAAACCACTACAATGTAATAAGTATTAATAGTAAGGGGATTGTTGGGAACACGTAGAAGTGTTCCTAACCCATTTATTTCTGATGGAGAGGGGGAGTCAAAAGATGCTTCCTACAGGAAATGATGTTACAGTTGAAACCTAAAGGACCTGTTGGAGTTAGTCAGTTCAACGGGGGGTTGGGGGAAATGATGGACTTCCCACCCCCTGGGAACAACAAACGCAAAGGCCTAGAAGTGAAAGTGGGGGCTTCAAATCGTTCCTTCAAATCATTCCTTAGAGACCTCCCTGGTGGTGCAGTGGTTAAGAATCCGCCTGCCAATGCAGGGGACACGGGTTCGAGCCCTGGTCCAGGAAGATCGCACATGCCGCGGAGCAACTAAGCCCATGTGCCACAACTACTGAGCCTGCACTCTAGAGCCTGCGAGCTGCAACTACTGAGCCCGCGCGCCTATAGCCCGTGCTCCGCAACTAGAGAAGCCACCGCAATGAGAAGCCTGTGCACCGCAACGAAGAGTAGGCCCCGCTCGCCACAACTAGAGAAAGCCCGCGTGCAGCAACGAAGACCCAACACAGCCAAAAATATATAAAATAAATAAATTTTTAAAAAACTGAAAAAAATAATTCCTTATAGCAGCAGAGTAGAGCAGGTGAGAGGGGTCAGAACACAAACAAACTCGCCGACCAGGCCAAGAAAATGGGCTTTGCCCTGAGAGCAGCCAAGGGCCATAGATGAGTGCATCAAGAGGTTTATATTTTGGTTAAGAAAACTTACCCCAAACTTGGAAGCAGGCCCAGGACTAAGCAGAGGCGAGAAAGGAGCCTGGGGTGCAAACTCTAAACTCTGCTCACTCGAAGGGTTGTTCAGCACTTTTGTAACCCTGGGAGTGAGTGTCTCCTTAAACTTTGCACCCTGGACATCTTTCACGCATCACTAGTTCTGGCCTTGCGTGGAAATAGGGCATGAGAATGACGTCCCTGTCTTCACAGTATCATCGTTTAACAGGTTCACCAAAGAATTCCTTGATAGAGGAAAATGCATCTGCATTTGGCTTTGCTCTTTGCCATTCAATTATAGCCCAAACACTGTGAAGTTAGATGTTAGCTTGTAAGTTTCGGTCTGATTTCCAGTGTTAGAAAAGATAGCCCCAACGATTATAGTTTTATGGCCCTATAGGATATTAACCAGTTTTGTATCTATTAGCAAATTTATTTCAGCATTGCATTGACTGACTATATAAATTCTCCTTTTAGCCATCCTTGCCATTTTACTGGTTCCCTCATTAATGAATGAGCGGAATAAACTCTTTGGCTTGTGTTCACTCTGTATTTGGATGAAAGTGACATTTTTTAATTTATTTATTAATTTATTTTTGGCTGTGTTGGGTCTTCGTTGCTGTGCATGGGCTTTCTCTAGTTGTGGCGAGCGGGGGCTACTCTTTGTTGCGGTGCGCGGGCTTCTCATTGTGGTGGCTTCTGTTGTTGCGGAGCATGGGCTCTAGGCGCGCGGACTTCAGTAGTTGTGCCATGCGGGCTCAGTAGTTGTGGCTTGCGGGCTCTAGAGTGCAGGCTCAGTAGCCGTGGCGCATGGGCTTAGTTGCTCCGCAGCATGTGAGATCTTCCCGGACCAGGGATCGAACCCGTGTCCCCTGCATCGGCAGGTGGACCCCCAACCACTGTGTCACCAGGGAAGTCCCGAAAGTGATATTTTTAAATTAAAAAAAATAATACATTAACAAATTTAAAAGGTTACTCTAACTTCTGTGGGGAAATTGGATTGGTGTGGGATGGGTCTAGGATGGCATGTTTAAAATAAGGTGATTAGTGGGAATTTCCTGGCCGTCCAGTGGTTAGGACTGCGCACTCCCGCTGCGGGGGGCACGGGTTCAATCCCTGGTCTGGGAACGTTCTTGGTGCATTACATTCTATACCTCATCCGGTTTTTCACAACAACTTTGGGGAATCTGTTATTTTTTGTCCCCATTTTGTAGCTGTGGAATTTAAGGCTCAGACAAGTGAAATAATAGCTTGAAAATGGTGGAGCTTAGGTCTGAATCCAGGATACCCCACTGCCCGCCTTCATGCTGGAGCTTTTCTTTCTAGGCGAATGGTGTCACTACAGACTGGCATACTCCCTTGTTTAATGCTTGTGTCAGCGGCAGCCTGGACTGTGTGAATTTGCTTCTGCAGCATGGAGCCAGTCCCCACCCTGAGAGTGATCTGGCGTCCCCCATGCATGAAGCTGCTAAGAGAGGTAAATCTGCTGAGAATTTAAGTTTTCCACCCCCTCCTTCAAGGGACATCTTATTGTTGAAGGGAAGAGGGAAAAGGAGGTACATGGAGCAGTTGTTCTCAATGTGTGGATCCTGGGACCAGAAGCGTCAGCCTGACCTGGCACGCAAATGCAGATTCTTGGGCTCCATTCCAGACCCAGTGAATCAGTAACTTTGGGGGTGGGGCCCAGCCATCTGTGCTTTGTTTAACAAGCCCTCCAGGTGATTTCTGATGCACCGTAGGTTTGAGAAGAGCCCTTTTAGAACATTTGGAATACTGCTCACTGCTGTGTTTCCGGAACAGGGCCTGGCATATAGTAGACTATCCATCAGAATGTGTGGAATGTGTTGTTGAACCCATGACCCCATAAAGTCAAGCTATTTTATAAAACAAATTATAGTCTTCTGTTTTAAGGCCTTAAAGAATATTGTCTCAGGGCCACCTAAGTTTGCTAAGTGAGACAAACTTTCAATTTTTGGAAATATAAGATGTTATATACAGTTTGGGGTAAGTCTCCCCATCCCCATGTTTGTTGAGGTATAATTGACAAATAAGATTGTATATATTTAAGGTGTACAGTGTGATAACTTGCTATACGTATACATTGTGAAAGGATAACCGTAATCAAGTTAATTAACACATCCATTGCCTCATATAGTTACCTTTTTTTTGTGGTGAGAACATTTAAGATCTATTCCCGTAGCAAATTTAAAGTACAGTATATATATTATTATTTTTATTTTTATTTTTTTTAGTGTACGCGGGCCTCTCACTGCTGTGGCCTCTCCCGTTGCGGAGCGCAGGCTCCGGACGCGCAGGCTCAGTGGCCATGGCTCACGGGCCCAGCCGCTCTGTGGCATGTGGGATCTTCCCGGACCGGGGCACGAACCCGTGTCCCCTGCATCGGCAGGCGGACTCTCAACCACTGCGCCACCAGGGAAGCCCAGTATATATATATATATATATTTTTTTTTTTTTTTCCAGTATATATATTATTAACTGTAGTCACCATGCTGTACATTAGATCCCCAGAACTTATTCATCTGGGATAATTCTTTTCGTAAAGTCACAGTTTTCCTGCTATTCTTAACTCTGAGACAAAAAATAAAATTGTAAGTTTTGCTTTTCTCTGATATTTCTCCTCCTCCTTGACATCATGATGACCGTACCTTGCCCCGAGGGCTATTTCCGCAGTGGCTTCACAAAATAGCTTCCCCTCATCTTTACAGCAGCCCCATTTGACTGGATCCACCCGTTTTATAATTATCTCCCCAAGCACTGGCATTTCTTCACGAGGAGACATGTTATCATTTTCACTGGACACATAGAGCTAAAATGGTATAACAAGATAAATGCAAAGGAGCAATGTTTCAAGTATGATGTCCCAGACCAAGGAAGAGTGATTCCGCTTTCACCAAACCTAGTTGGCCACACTGGGCCTCACTCACGCTGGATTTGGCACCTTCTTCTAAGCCTCGCCTGTGCCCACCGTGGCCTGTTTGTCCCAGGGCCTGCCCTTGGTGAGGTTGTAACTTTCCTTCCCTGTTCCACGGTCCGCTCTGTGCCCTTGCTTCTCCAGGTCCACCTTTAGTCCCTGTTGTTCCATATCTCTCCTCAGCGCTCACTTTGATTTCGGTAATCAGACTGATTACAGAGCCACCGACAATTGAAAAATGTGGCTGGCTGCTCGTTGCTTACCATGGCTGGTAAACTCAAGTGGAGTTCCACCCAGAGCTACAGATGCCATCTTATAGTCAACCCATTAACTGGTGACAGTGTTGAAGGTCATTCCCTATTCTAAATAGAGGGAATAGCTTTTGGTCGCTGGAGAAGTTGTTGGAGAATTTAAACCCACAAAACATGGGCGAGGTGGTGTTTCCCTAGCTACGAGAATTTGTGCTGTAACTGTTTTCTCCCACTTTGGGCTGCAGGCCACGTGGAGTGCATTGAGTCTCTTGTGGCTCATGGGGGCGACGTTGACCGTAACATCAGCCACCTGGGCACACCGTTATATTTGGCTTGTGAAAATCTGCAGGTGGCCTGTGCCAAGAAGCTTCTGGAATCAGGTAAAACCAAAAGCAAAACATAACAAGGAAAGTAAATGAAAAGTAAATGAAAGGTATCTGAAAGCTCTTTCTGTCGTAGCAGAGGAAAGAGCGCGGGCAATGGAGTCGCACAGGATCAGAGTTCATATTGACTGTGTTTCCGTGGGGAATTAGTTTAAACTGTTTCAACTTTAGTCCTCTCACTTGTACTGAGAATCGTGATAATAATGATAATGATGATGACATCTCCCAGGATGGTCCTCAGTGATTATTAGTTTCTCCTCCCTCCCTCTGACCACTGATATTATTAGGCCCTGAGTAACTTGCACAGCTGCTGGATTAGGGCTGAATCTTCAGATTTGGGGCCGCCTTCACCAGTTCTCTTTGATTTGGAAATAGAACTTGCCCCATTTTTACTCCATTGTGAATATTATATTTTCGAAAAGTCGTAGGTCGCATCATTCTTTCTCACCTTCCTGCTGTTATCCAGCCCCTTCTTCAACACTTGGGATACCACTTCATCACCTCTTTAATTATTTGAGTCCTGGTTATTCTTTAAAAACCCAGGAATCTTACAGTTCCCATTGCCTTCTACTCACTTGGCAGCCATTACCATGAATTAGGAGATGGGTTCTCTCTCTCCTTCTCTCCCTCTCTTTCTTCTATTACCCTAGGTGGATTTTAAGCTCCTAGTCAGGAAAGGGCCATGTTTGGCACCCCTCACGAAGCCAAGACCAATACAAGAACAATTCAGTTAACATTTGTTGACTGGACATAGATTCCCATTTTACTAGAGGGACAGCAGCCCAGGCAAAGTCATATGTCCCCACACATCACAGCGGGAGCCAGCATCTGGACTGGGGTAGGGATTTTCTGAGAGTGTAAGGATGGAACTGGGTGGGGGTGGTCCTCAAGTTCTACCTTATCCCCGAAGAGGAGGGCTTTGCCCCCTTCTCCGTGATCTTGGGATTGGCCACCCCAATCTAGACAATGCTGCCATAATTGATTGCCCTTCACAGTCCAAATCACATGGTCCCAAGTCTCTGGTTTAAACCTCACGGCAGTTGCTCGGCGTGTAAATGTGGATAATTGCCATAGGTGAGATTTCACCATCTAGCCTCACTTCCGGCCTGTACTGGCTAATATTTGGGCTCCGTTAATAATGAATGTGCAGCTTTCATGCCACCAGGATTCTTCTTGCATGTGTCACACCTGTGTGGAGTGCTCAAAGGCAAGCTTTTCAACCTCATACGTCACAGAGCTCCCGTGGTACATTCAGTCACATTGTCAAGTGGCATTTTCCCCATATTGTTAAATGGAATCAAGTCGTCTCCTGTTTTCTCAGGAGAACTACTGTGCCTGCTATGGACGCCCTTTTGTTAGGGAATTTTGAGGTGCAGTGCTTTGAGAAGGGGGCGCTTGCACTCTGCTGACTCTGACTCTGTTGTTCTCGTGACTGTTTAGGAGCGAGCGTGAACCAAGGCCGGGGGCTGGATTCCCCTCTGCACGCGGTGGCCAGGGCGTCCAGTGGGGAGCTGGCCTGCCTGCTCATGGACTTTGGAGCAGACACCCAGGCCAGGGATGCTGAAGGCCACCGTCCCTTGGAGCTGGTGCCTCCAGAGAGCCCCCTGAGCCAGCTCTTCTTGCAGAGAGAAGGTGCTTCTCCTTTGCCTGAATCTAAGCCCTAATCCATAGACTCCTGTGGGCTCTAGCAGGAGGCAGGTACTTACCGAGTTCTGACTTCGGGTCTTATGAAAAAGATTGTTCTCTGCCTTCACGAAACGTGGGGAGCGGAGATAGTTTAGTATTCGGCAAGGTACAGTACTGGTTATATAATAAATAACCATCCTGCTCTTTGGCATGTTGGAGACAGGCTGTTTGGATGATCTAATGTTCATATGTGGGATAGGCCAGCTTTCAAAGAATTAAGATATTGTTTTAAAATGTTAAAGTTACCTAAGACATGCTGTATTTAAAAAAAAGTTTATTGGGGTATAGTTGGTTTACAATGTTGTGTTAGTTTCAGGTGTACGACATGCTTTATTTTTTTTTAAATTTATTTTATTGAAGTATAGCTGATTTTATAATGTTACGTTTATTTCTGCTGTACAGCAAAGTGATTCACTTATACATATACATTCTTTTTCGTATTCTTTTCCATATGGTTTATCACAGGATACTGAATATAGTTCCCTGTGCTCTACAGTAGGACCTTGTTTATCCATTCTATATATACTAGTTTGCATCTGCTAACCCCAAACTCCCAATCCATCCCTCCCCCACCCCCCTCCCCCTTGGCAACCACAAGGCTGTTCTCTATGCCTGTGAGTCTGTTTCTGTTTTGTAGATAAGTTCACTTGTGTCATATTTTAGATTCCACATATAAGTGATATAATAGGGTATTTGTAAGCCATGCTTTAGAGAGATGCAGCAGAAGGGTCTTTGGGGTTGTACAATGCCCCAGGATGTCTTACTGCAGTACAGATGGGCTGAACTACTGGGCATTTGGCTTCTGGGATGGTGGGTAAGAATGCAACTCATTGAGTATTACACGGTATTGCTTTCATGATGCACAGCAATCGGGAGACATTTACTATCGGCTTGGCCAAAAAGTTCGTTCGGGTTTTCCGTGACATCTTATGGAAAAATCCGGACGAACTTTTTGGCCAATCCAATATAATAAGTTAATCAACACTGAGTCCACACTCCTCTATAAATAAAAACTGACACTCCTGACCCAAACCACTAAACACTGGGGTTGAGCACTGTGCAAGGGGATAGGGGCACTTCCCTGGGCTGCGAGGTCACGGGTGGGCTGGGGTGGGGAGCAGAGACCCCTCAGATTGCATTCTTGATTGTCCCTAGAGGTGGAGAGCAGCCAGCTCAGGACCTGCTTTTTTTTTTACCGGAGTGTGGACTTTGTTGAGTCTTAGGGGTTGTGGGAGTTTGAAGCAGGCTTCCCTACCAGAAGGATTCTTTTTTATTTTTTATTTAATTTAATTTATTTATTTTTGGCTGCATTGGGTCTTCGTTGCTGAGCACGGGCTTTCTGTAGTTGCGGCGAGCGGGGGCTCCTCTTCGTTGCGGTGCGCAGGCTTCTCATTGCGGTGGCTTCTCTTGTTGTGGAGCACGGGCTTAGGTGCGTGGCTCAGTAGTTGTGGTGCACGGGCTTAGTTAGTTACTCTGTGGCATGTGGGATCTTCCCAGACCAGGGCTCGAACCCGTATCCCCTGCACTGGCAGACGGATTCTTAACCACTGCACCACCAGGGAAGTCCCAGAAGGATTCTGATGTCACGTAATCTGGTTATTTTCTCCCCACATGCTGAGAATTAGGGCTCTGGGCAGAATTGTAAAGTGGCCCCTGAATCCTTCTTCCTGCTACACCCACTGCCCCAGCGTACTTGTGGCCATAGCCCGCCTTGGGGCCTCCCAAACAAGGCCTGTGCTCCCCGAGCCGAGGCACAAGGAACAGTCCAATAGAAACCCCTTTATGAGAAGCAGTGGGGTCACCCCCGGGCAACTCTGCCCGTACTTTGACAATTTCTTGTTTTCAAAAAATTGTATCTCTATAGACGGGGCTGATTTCTCCAGCAGGCACAGATGGCACAATGCGTGGGGTCCACCATGTTTTTAGGGGCCCGCAGAAATGTTTTAATTTCTTTTAAAATCAGAAGGAAAAACAATGAATAAAACTCAACCTGGGTTATATTCATCTTTATACTGGCACTTGTCCCTGACATTGTATCTAGCACATGTGATTAGTAACTTCCTTCAAAGTGCTTTAGTGAGAGGAGATTGAGTTCAGTTGCCCCACACTATGCCTTTTGCAGCTCGTTAATAAATGCTTTGAGCACAGTGGGAAATCCTTCATTAATATATGCCTTGAGCACACTGAACATATCTGGAAGGTGCCCTAAAGTTCAACAGGGACCTTGTGAATGTGCTCTGAGGACCTGATTGAAAATATTTCCTTTCTTTCTTTCCTTGTGTATATGTCTGTTTCTACCTCTCCTTGTTTTCCGTCACCCGAGAAGTATGCAACCCAGTTTATCCTGTAGCTTGTGGTGACGCTATAGGAAATTGAAGCCAAATCCGGCCTCTGTACCCTGACACTGAATTAAATCTCGGAGACAGAGTTTTGGGTGAAGTAGAAAAGAATAGCTTTATTACTTTGCCAGGCAAAGGGGGCCACGGCGGGCTAATGCCCTCAAAACTGTGTCCCGACCTGGAGGGGGTAGTGAGGAGTTTTATAGTAATGGTTCAAGGAGGGTGTGATCAGCTCATGGACGTTCTTCTGACTGGTTGGTGGTGAAGTTGGAACCGTCTGGTTCCAGCTGGTCTGGGGCCTACGTGCTTGTGGGCAGCATGCAGTTAACTTCTCCCACCTGGCGGGGGTTTCAGTATCTGCTGAACAGCTCAAAGGTATTGTTATATGTGTCCCTTGAGGGGAACCAGGACCCTGCCCCAAGGCTGCACTGTTGTTTCTCTTGACTGCTCCTCCCTTGTCTCTGCATCCCCTCCATTCCCTAATTAGCATCGGTTTGAACCTGCTTCTTGGAACTCAGGGAAGGTCAGGGAGGCTGAATGAAGCCTATTTCCTGTAATCAAGAAATGGGGGGGCTTCCCTGGTGGCACAGTGGTTGAGAGTCCGCCTGCCGATGCAGGGGACATGGGTTCGTGCCCCGGTCCGGGAAGATCCCACATGCCGCGGAGCGGCTGGGCCCGTGAGCCATGGCCGCTGAGCCTGCGCGTCCGGAGCCTGTGCTCCACAACGGGAGAGGCCACAAGAGTGAGAGGCCCGTGTACCAGAAAAAAAGAAGGGGGGGACACGGAAGGGCTTTTGTGCCCTGGAGTCCCACAGGGTCCTGCTTGGTATCAAAGTTAGAGGCCACTGTACCCTTTTGGTTGCATTCTCAGCCCTGGCCACACAATACAGTGACCTGGGACACGTGCCTTTACAAAAACCAGATGCACAGGCCCCACCCAACAGTAACTGAAGCAACATGCCTGGGGTGGAGTTTAAGGCCCTCCCCGCCCCCCCCCCCCGCAGTCAGGCTTGAGGGCTACTGCTTTATGGGATTCTTGGAGGTATACAGCTTTGCCTTTTAAAAAGTTTTTAATAACCAAAAGGGAACTGCCATTACAATTTAGTGCAGGGGCTGGGGATGGGAAATCATTTCCCATCTTTTTACCCTATGACAGGGTTTTTCAAGCTCATTTTGGGCCAGATGGGGGCCATCCTGTCCTGTGCACTGTAGGATGTTTAGCAGCATCCCTGTCATCCACCCACTAGATGGTAGTAGCAACACCCCCCCCCCCCCCAACTTGTGACCAAAAAAATTAGCTCCAGATATTGCCAAGTGTCCCTAGGGAGCAAAATACTCCCTCCCCCCCTTGAGAATCGCTGTCTTAAGATGTAAACACTTGGCTGGATCCCTATGCAAGGTTTGTGCTAGTTCACTTTTCACCTGTGAGTTGAAGCACTGGGACAACTCTGAATGCAGAATATAAAAACAAATATGAAAAGACCTGTATGCACAAAACTATGACACTGATGAAAGAAATTAAAGATGATACAAACAGATGGAGAGATATACCATGTTCTTGGAATAGAAGAATCAACATTGTGAAAACGACTATACTACCCGAAGCAATCTACAGATTCAGTGCAATCCCTATCAAACTACCAATGGCATTTTTCACAGAACTAGAACAAAAAATTTCACAATTTATATGGAAACACAAAAGACCCTGAATAGCCAAAGCAATCTTGAGAAAGAAAAACAGAGCTGGAGGAATCAGGCTCCCGGACTTCAGACTATACTACAAAGCTACAGCTATCAAGACAGTATGGTACTGGCAGAAAAACAGAAATATAGATCAATGGGACAGGATAGAAAGCCCAGAGATAAACCCACGCACATATGGGCACCTAATTTATGACAAAGGAGGCAAGAACATACAATGGAGAAAGGACAGCCTCTTCAATAAGTGGCGCTGGGAAAACTGGACAGCTACATGTAAAAGAATGAAATTAGAACACTCCCTAACACCATACACAAAAATAAACTCAAAATGGATTAAAGACCTAAATGTAAGGCCAGACACTATCAAACTCTTAGAGGAAAACATAGGCAGAACACTCTATGATATAAATCACAGCAAGATCCTTTTTGATCCACCTCCTAGAATAATGGAAATGAAAACAAAAATAAACAAATGGGACCTAATTAAACCTAAAAGCTTTTGCACAGCAAAGGAAAACATAAACAAGATGAAAAGACAACCCTCAGAATGGGAGAAAATATTTGCAAACGAAGCAACTGACAAAGGATTAATCTCCAAAATTTACAAGCAGCTCATGCAGCTCAATATCAAAAAACAAACAGCCCAATCCGAAAATGGGCAGAAGACCTAAATAGACATTTCTCCAAAGAAGATATACAGATTGCCAACAGACACATGAAAGGATGCTCAACATCACTAACCATTAGAGAAATGCAAAGCAAAACTACAATGAGGTATCACCTCACACCAGTCAGAATGGCCATCATCAAAAAATCTAGAAACAGTAAATGCTGGAGAGGGTGTGGAGAAAAGGGAACCCTCTTGCACTGTCGGTGGGAATGTAAATTGATACAGCCACTATGGAGAACAGTATGGAGGTTCCTTAAAAAACTAAAAATAGAACTGCCATATGACCCAGCAATCCCACTACTGGGCATATACCCTGAGAAAACCATAATTCAAAAAGAGTCATGTACCACAATGTTCATTGCAGCTCTATTTACAATAGCCGGGACATGGAAGCAACCTAAGTGCCCATCGACAGATGAATGGATAAAGAAGGTGTGGCACATATACACACTGGAATATTGCTCAGCCATAAAAAGAAACGAAATTGAGTTATTTGTAGTGAGGTGGATGGACCTAGAGTCTGTCATACAGAGTGAAGTAAGTCAGAAAGAGAAAAACAAATACCGTATGCTAACACATATATATGGAATCTAAAAAAAAACAAGAAAAAATGGTTCTGAAGCACCTAGGGGCAGGACAGGAATAAAGATGCAGACCTAGAGAATGGACTTGAGGACATGGGGAGGGGGAAGGGTAAGCTGGGACGAAGTGAGAGAGTGGCACGGACATATATACACTACCAAATGTAAAATAGATAGCTAGTGGGAAGCAGCTGCATAGCACAGGGAGATCAGCTCGGTGCCTTGTGACCACCTAGAGGGGTGGGATAGGGAGGGTGGTAGGGAGACGCAAGAGGGAGGGGATATGGGGATATGTGAATATGTATAGCTGATTCACTTTGTTATAAAGCAGAAACTAACACACCATTGTAAACTCCAATTAAACTCCAATAAAGATGTTAAAAACAAAAAAATATGACTTCAGGTAACATTTATGCTTCACTGATAGCTTCTTATATTTGAATATCTTAAAACTGCTAAATTATAAAAGTATTTGCATCCAGAAATATGACCTTATTTTTTTTAAAGGTAAAGACAAGAAAGGCATTAAACATGGATTTTCTTGTCATTGCTGGGATTTCCATACTTTTGTAATTCCAAAATTAGCTCCCATAAGCCTCCATTGGTGAGACTCAGCTTTGAAGGTCTTTGTTCTAAATCAAAACCGAGCAAACTCATTTCAATGAGATACCAGAAAAGAGAGAACATGGCCTAAAAATGCCTCCTACAAAAAGCAGAACATGGTCTTAAGCTGCACCATATTATTTCTTTATAATAGTGTCATAGCTTGTATGCTTTCAACGAAGGAAGGGAAAAGTCTTAGATCAGTGAAATGCATGGGTGACTTGTCTTATCATCTTTCTCCAGGGCCCCCTTCTTTGATGCAGTTATGTCGCCTTAGAATTTGGAAGTGCTTTGGGATCAAGCAGCATCATAAGATCACCGGACTCAGCCTCCCTGAGGAGCTGAAATGGTTTCTCCTCCGCATTTAAATGTGTCAAGGGAATGGCATCACAAACGACAGACAAACGTTATCGAGTGTTGAGGCTACTGGGATTTTAAAATAAAGTCAGGTTTATTAGAGTTTGGCTAGTTTTTTTTTTTTTGAAGGAGATTTTTATTTGTAAAGGAACATACTGAGTACTTTTGTGTTATTGGTTGGAGGGCATGAAAAATTCCACCACACCCCTCCGCCCCCTGCCGCCTGCAAGAGGGTGGCTAAGATAACAACTATGGTGTTGATCGTGCCAAGCCCTGAGCTGGGAACGCTTTACGCTTCACCCAATTTAGCTCTCACAGCAACCCCACCAGGTGGGTACTATGCTCTCCCCTTCTCCAGGTGAGACCCTGAGACTCAGGGAAGTCAGTTTGTCCCATAACCCCCAGTGAGGACAGGCAACCAGACGAACACCAACAGCATACCACTTGCTAGTTCAGTTAATTTCATTAGTTCATTTGTTCAGGACACATCATGCATCTTCTAGAACCGTGCTGTTCAGTGCAATAGCTACTAGCCCAGTGGTTCTCAACCAGGGGCGATTTTTCCCCTTAGGGGGTATTTGTCAATGTCTGGAGACTTTTATGATTGTCACAACTGAGGGCGAGGGTATGCCTGGCCAGTGGGTAGAGGCCAGGGCTGTTGCTAAGTACCCTACAGTGCACAAGACAGCCACCACAGCAAAGCATGATCCAGCCCAAAATGTCAATAGTGCCAAGGTTGGGAAACCCTACACTAGCCGTATGTGGCTATTTTAAAAATGTAAATTAATTAAAATTAGATACAATTAAAAATCCAGTTCCTCAGAGTCATTAGCCACATTTCAGATGTTTAATAACCACACATGGCCAGTGACTACTGTATTGGACATCACAGACACGTATAGATCATCGCAGAAAGTTCTGTTGTTCCATTGTTGCAGAAATTCCTATTCGACAGCACTGTTCAGATGCTTGACAAATGGATTTTAACTGCCTTTCAGTTTCTGGTTTATATGAGACCTGTGATATAATTTAGTAATGATGGCTGTAGTTTGTCTTCTCTCTGAGACATGAATTTGGTGCTCCGTTGGATCAAGAGAAAGTAAGAAAATGTTGTACCCACTTAAGGCAAATCGTTACCTGTAAGATGACATATGGCCTAGATGACCTGTAAAGATATTTCCTATGTAATTTTTTGTGATTCTAAATTCAGTTTGCTATATGAAAAAGAAGACTCCAGAATTTTGTTCTAAAATGCCCAACTAGTTACCCAGAAGATGGCGCTGCTGGCACACAATCATTTAAGCAAAACAGTTTCTCCTCATAAATGACCCATTGTAAGATGGTTTACAACATAGGCTCTGGAAATTTCCATGCGGGGATGAAAACTTCGTAGTGGTAAATTCCATTGACACTGGGTTTTCTTCTCTTCCAGTGTGCTCAGAAATTCAAATGTGAATTTTTATCACCTCCCTGCTTTTTTTTTTTTTCTTTCTTGGTCTGATCATGTTTACATTTTTAACTGCTCAGAATTTAGACAGAAAACGAACACCAACAGCATACCACTTGCTAGTTCAGTTAATTTCATTAGTTCATTTGTTCAGGACATATTTAGTGAGTGCCAGGCACTATTCTAGGCACCAGGGTAGCCACAGTGAAGGAGATGTGGGCAAAGGTTCTGACTTTCTGGAATTCACACTCTAGTCGGGAGAATCTTTTTTTTTTTAATTTTTTTTTTTTTTAAATTTTGGCTGCACTGGGTCTCCGTTGAGATGCGTGGGCTTCTCATTGAGGTGGCTTCTCTTGCTGCGATATGCAGGCTTCAGTAGTTGTGGCATACGAGCTCAGTAGTTGGGGCTCGCAGGCTCAGTAGTTGTGGCCCACAGGCTTAGTTGCTCCGCGGCATGTGGGATCTTCCCAGACCAGGGTTCGAACCCGCGTCCCCTGCATTGCAAGGCGGACTCTCAACCACTGCGCCACCAGAGAAGCCCCGGGAGAATCATTTGCTAAGGAGCAAGGAGCTTAGGCATTTTGCTATAGTTTTCTTTTTGAAAACACTAGGTTTGTTTTTGTTTGTTTGTTTTTTAAATAGCCTGGTGTCTCATAGAAAATATATCGGACAGAATGTTGCTTATGTTAATCTACTCTTGGCCAAATTCTCTGAGTTTAACCCAGGACTGTACAAAAGTACTAGAAGAGCATTTTTCTTCTCAGATCTTCCAGCCAGTTAACCAATTTGCACATCCATATAATAGATGGTCATCTGCACAAATGGGAAAAATACCACCACCACCTGCCTCATTGCAACTTAGGAAAATTTCAAATTACTTCACTTAGTAGTGCTCAGAAAGAAGATGCTATTTAAATAGGAAGTCTATTTTTATGAGTCTAGATGTGGTTATATTTATAAGTGATATACACCTTTGAACGCTTTATCATCACGATCTGGCACAGCCTCATAAATTCCATCATCAAAGCTGGTTCGGCGACATTTAATAGAACCCCACCTTTTTGAATGAGGGATGTAAATTTTTAGCATCGTGAAACCATCTTTTAAAAATGCTAATTACTTTGTTTTAAGAGTGCAAACTTCCCACACATTTCTTGTAGCCCAGTCTCATATTGTAAGTTTACTACATTCTCTTGGTTTTATCCAGTAGAAACACTGACCACTTGGTACAAGAAGAAGGCAAGAAGAGGCCAGCGAAGGATGATTGTTTTCTTCTGCGTTTATATTGGGGCTAATTGACATGGTTTGATACTCCATGTTCCAGGCTGCAGTAGTTAATCATTAAGCAGTCACTCGGGCTCAGAAACAATGGAACGAGATGTGCTCTGCTGTCTGATCTGGGGCACGGGGAGCGGGGGCGGGGGGGGGGGGTGGACATTTACAATCTGATGAAAGCCCAGCATTAGGGCTAGTGTAGAAGATCTGATCAGCAACAAAATCAGCTAAACAACAGCTCGCGTTTTGGAGGGCTTGCTAAGGGCTAGACCCCTCGCACCAGTGTTTTAGAAGCCTTACCTTCCAACCTTCACAACTCTGGTATCGCCATTTTACAGATAGGGGTGCACAGGGGTAAAGGAATTTGCAAAAAGTCACAGGTGGTGAAGGAAGTTTTTTTTTTTTTTTTTTCGGTACACGGGCCTTTCACAGCTGTGGCCTCTCCCGTTGCGGAGTAACAGGCTCCCGACGCGCAGGCTCGGCGGCCATGGCTCACGGGCGCAGCCGCTCCGTGGCACGTGGGATCCTCCCGAACCCGGGCACGAACCCGCGCCCGAACCCGCGCCCCCCGCATCAGCAGGCGGACTCTCAACCACTGCGCCACCAGGGAAGTCTGAAACCAGACTTTAATGCAGAAGCCAGAGCTCTTACCCATTATACGCCCTGCCTTCTATTTTCTTCAGGAAATCCCAGAGCTCTGGTTCCTGGGTCCTAAAGCCCCTGCTTAGTTTCCCGGAAGGCCTTGGAAGTGGAGGCGGAGCCATGTCCTTAGGTCAAAGGTCTCGGCCTGAGGTCAGGAGGCTGTGTCGGGTTTAGATCGAACATCACCCAACTCTTACCCCAGCCACGGGAACCAGCCTGGGAACCCCCAGACTTGCTGCGTCCTGAAGCAGGTGGGTCAGCCTTGCCCTGCCAGTGATGCTGGCGAACAATGCCTTCCCGGGGGACCAAGCCCCGCGTGGCAAAGGAAATTTTTTTCAAACTGAGAGTATTTGGTACTGATTTCGTCAGTGAAAAATCGTTATCTGTAATGGGCAGGGTGGAGGGGAAGCTGTCTGGGCTTTGAACAACATCGTCTGGCTGTGCATTTGCGAGTTCTGCATGTTTTTTTTTCTTGCTGTATTAGTGTTCTATTGCCGCATAACAAAGTATCACAAACTTAGTGGCTTAAAGCAACATGAATTTATTATCTCATAGTTTCTGTAGGTCAGAGGTCCAGGCATGGCGTGACTGCATTCTCTGCTCAGGGACTCACAGGGCTGAAATCAAGGTGCTGGCTAAGGCCACAGTTCTCATCCAGGGCTCAGGGGTCTTCCTCCAAGATGACTGGTTGTTGGTAGAATTCAGTATCTTGCACCTGTGGAACTCAGGTCCCTGTTTTCATGCCTGCTAGCTGTCAGCTGAGGACTGCTCTCAGTATCTAGAGACCACCCACAGTTCCCTGCCATGTGGTCCCCTCCGTAGGAAGTTCACAACATGGATTCTGGCTTTCTTCCAGGCCGTGGAGTGCATCTCCCTGCATTCCTATGCTGTGAGCAGCTGGAGGAAATTCTCTGCTTCTAAAGGGCCCACCTGATGAGGTCAGGCCTACCTGGATAATCTCCTGATTTGGGACCTTAATTACACCTGAAAAATCCCTTCAAATGAGCACCTAGATTAGTGTTTAATTTAATAACTAGCAGAAGGAGTGTGTACACCAGGGGCCCAGAATCTTGGGGGCCATTTCAGAATTCTGCCTACCATACCTACTAATGGCTAATAACCATCAATGTTGCGTCAATTTATCTGAGGTCCGATATATAATAACATGATGATTGTTTTTGTTATATAATCAAACATGTATATAGTGCTTACTCTATATCAGGCGTGGCTCTAAGAATTTCACAAACATCAAGTCATTTAATACTTACAATAATCCTGTGATATACATTTTACAGCTAAGGAGACAGCCACAGGGAGGTCAGGTAACTTCCCCCAGGTCATACAGGACTGTCAGGGACCACATAATTCCTTTAATCACATCAAGCCTAGATCAACAAGTTTGGCAACGGTGAAGGAAGGGCTAGGTGGGGCCAAGAAGTGGGACTTCTCAGCCTTGCCTCCATTCCCTCTGGAGCCTGCTCACTAAGTACAAGGTCACTGGCATGCCTGCCTGTGGGTGAGTGCGGCTCTCCCTTGTACTGGCTGTCACGATGCTTCTATAAACCTCGGTATGTTGTGGACTGAGTGTGTCCCACCAAAATTCATATGTTGAAATCCTAACCCCCAATGTGATGGTATTTGAGGTGGTGTCTTTGGGAGGTGATTAGGTCATAAAGATGGGGCCCTCATGATTGGATTAGTGCCCTTATAATGGAGACCCCAGAGCATTCTATTGCCTCTTCCACCATGTGAGGACACAGTGAGAAGATGGCCATCTAAGAGCCAAAAGCTGGTCCTCACCAGACACAGCATCTACTGCCGCCTTGATCTTAGACTTCCCAGCCTCCAGAAGTGTGAGGAATAAATACTTGTTGTTTAAGCCGCCCAGGCTATGGTGTTTTTGTGATGGCAGCTCGAATGGGACCAAGACAAGGAAGGACAGTTGCAACTAGGCAGATGTTTTACAGGAGACTTCACTACCGTTTATAAAAACCAGAAGGGAAACCAAGTAACATGCTTATAACATGCAGCTATGTTTGCTACTGGTCCACCTCCTGGCCCCTGGCCAACTTCCCTTGCATACTCTAGTTTCCTGTGTGATTCCTTGGGGATGTCACAGGAAGTCTCTTCTATCAGATGGCCTGGCAGCCCCCAA